CCTGAGAAGAAGCACGAGGGGCACGGGTCTTACCCTTCTATCCATTACACCAGAGGATGCTTCTTTTCCCGCCTTTGAATCAATGGGTTTTCTCACTGAGGGAGAGTTCAACAGTCAACCAACTAGAGAGAAGAAAACGACCACGATAATGTGGAAGAAAAACTTAGATGAAACATGAGACACACAATGACATTACAACCACAACATACAAGATTAATCTTTAACACATATGACCCCCCCGAGAGGAGGTACACAAAAGGATTACAATCTTAATACACGAGATTAACCTTAATACATCTTTCTCACTACATATCTCTCTTTAAATAGAGGTTTTTACAAAAATTTTACCCTAACTAGCCACTTGCAACAATAACTACTAAACACTTAATAGTTTTACAACTTCTTAATACAAAAACTTACAAATGCAATTTTACTGCATCACTTATAATAAAATAGTATAAAAACTAATATACTTTCTAGAAAATACACTTTAACAATTTTAGCACTTCATCTTAAAATGATTTTTTTAGAAATGAGGCAATGCATGCACGATCATCTCCATCATTCTTTAAAATTGGAAATATAATATACTCTCTCTTTTAATCCATGAATGATTAGTCACTTCATTCATGCTTCCGAATAGGTTCTTCCGGAACAACGATAGTTCTCCAAATAAAGACCGTAGATATTTAAGAAGAATTGAGAAATAAAAATACCACATTGAGTTGAGTTCCCAACTTAACATTAAAACCATTCAACCTTCTACCCGAATTCATCTTCAAAAAGATAATTGATCTTCTTCACCAAAGGAGTGAAAGAACATCACCACCCCTTGTGGCTTTGATACCAAGTAGAGAAAAAAAAATATCACAATACCAGAACAATATACTTCTCAATTAGTGTAATAATGTCACACTAGCCCAAGACTCAACCAAAATAGAAAGAGGAAAAACAACCAAGATAAGGTGGAAGAAAAACTTTCATTCAAAGATGAAACATGGGGAACACAAAGGCATTACAATCTCAACACACAAGATTAACCTTAACACATGTAACCCCAAGGGTACCCAAAGGCATTACAATCTCAACATACAAGATTAACCTTAACACATGTGACCCCACTTTCTCACCACACATCTCTTTTTAAATAGAGGTTTCAACAACCATATTTCTCACAATAACTACCCACTTGTAACAATAACTACTAACCACCTTGTAATTTTATAATTTTCTACTGCACAAACTTACAAGTGCAACCTTATCGCATCACTCATGATAAAATAACATAAAAACTAATATCCTTTCTAAAAAATATATTTTAACAATTGAGAGAGAGAGAGAAAGAGGGGCGAGAAAGAGAGCCAAGCAAGAGAGGAAAAAGCGTGGGTTTAGAGAGAGAGAGAGCAAAGTGCAAGAGGGAGTTAGAGAGGAGCAGAGAGAAATGAAAGTTAGGATTTAGAGAGTGGGGAAGGTTAAGTATTTAAGGTATTTTTTGGGCCAGCCCATGAACAGCCCGACCCACCCAAAATGTTGTTTACCTTCCCTCTGGCCTTGCCCCGCCCAGCTCAGAGCCCGATAGTGGCCCGACACCAAGCCGTCCATGTCCATTAGCAACTTATTTAAATGCGAACATTAAAATTTTGGGAAATTATCAAAAATATATCCTAATTTTCGCCTAATTAGAAAAAAATCCAAACTTTCATGAAGATTGTCCATACTTTCTTTTTTTCCTTTTTATGGGCATTTTTTTACTAAAATGGCCTTCACAGTAATCGTATCACTGTGAAGATCCATCAAGCTAAAGTACCGTGATAACAACGTATCATTCAGACGTTGATAGTACTTATTTAGGCATCACATAGCATCGCGGTACTCTAAGTACCGTAATTAATTGATCATCTACTATGGCACTTAAAGCTACTACGACACTTAAAGCCCCGTAATTATATTTTTCTCTTGTCCTTGTTCGAAAGCGAAAGAATAGGAAGGGTGACTAGATAAACATTGCAATTGAATCTATGACAGGGATAGCCCATCCTTTTCCTCTCGATTTGTATGTATCATTATATTTAGAATCACATCTCTTCCTCATCTTTGCCTCTACACCTAGAGAGAGGTCCCTTTTTCTTTCTCCATTTGCGTATTGCCCTCATCCTTGCGATGATCATCATGGTGACCCACTCTTTTTCTTTTATTGATTAAACAATCCGCGGAGGGTTGAGAGAGAGAGACTTTACAGTGCTGAGGATGGGGCTGTGAAATCTGCAATACGAAATGCCCTTCTCACCTTCCTATTGGTATTTCTCTGCTGCAGCGATTGGACCCCTGACTTTCATCATCACCTCTTCCTACCTCCCTTATCTTCAGTTGGGGAATTTCCTCACCTCTGTGCTCGTCATCGTTCTGCTATTCTTCATCATTCTTTTTGTTTTCATATTTGTGGGGATGCCATTGGAGGCGCCTCCTTCAATCTCACCACCCTAGCTTGTTTCTACACTATTGGTCTTCGCTCCTCACACCATTTTAAATGCCATATAAGATGTCTTATGAATAAGGTATATAAAGCACCGTAATGTAGACTTTACGGTAATACGACTATTGTGAAAGCTATTTTTATAAAAAGTTAAAGTCAAAATTGAAAAAAAAAGGTATGGACGTCCTTTATGAATGTTTGGGGTTTTTTAGTTAAGCAAAAATTAGGGTATATTTTTTATAGTTTCCCTAAAACTTTAGGTAAATACAAAATGATCTCTTATAGATGGAAATTACAAATAAGATAGGTCAACCCGTATTTTTTTATTTTTTCAAAATTATCCTTCGGTTAACCGGAATTTTGATTTTCTTTTAGTTTTTTCATTAATTAACAAAGAAACTAAAAAAATCAAAACTTGGTATGACCAAGGGGCAATTATGAAAAAAATACAAAAAAAAAGTAGGTTGGCCATCCTTCTTTATAATTTTTACACAGTGGAGTATTTTGTATTTTACCTAAAATTTTAAGGTTTGTACGTAAATCACTCTAATTACAAAAAGGACAGTTTTTATGAGTCAGTCACCTCTTAAAATCTATTTTTGAGATGAA